GTGTGACGGAAATGATACGCCCCTACCATACTGTGATGCTGTGTCCCGGAGCAACGAGACAAAACCAGTAAAACCCATTATAAACGAGGCATTTGTTGCATCCAGTGGGGACATAATTACAGATTATAATGACTTATACTGTCTTTTTATGCGTTGCATCGCGCCGCGTAAACATAAAACCATGTCTGCATTTGTGATCAGAGAAATGACAAACAACAAGCGCTGCTCTACACTGCTCAATACTCGTGTTTGAATCATCAGTGGCAAATTCTTTAAATATGAAAACGTACTTACAGTCTTTGAGTCAGAACAGCCGGCATTGTAGTCTACTCTCCCAGGATCAGGAAACAGTCCTCCATAAAATGCGCTGCACACATCTGAATATTTGGGTTGAAGTGTTCTGGAACAGTGTTGTAAATACAACTTAACCACTGATTTCTAGTCGTGGCCTCTTTTAGAATGCCAAACAAAGTAGTTTCGCTTTCACAACAAAACACACAGCGTCTTCACAACATGGCGGCGGCAGTGGCAGCAACAATAAAGTTACGCCTTCTTTCTTTGCGTGAACATTTGGGCGGCGGTATGCAAATCTTCCCACATCGTGACGTAGACATGTGGGGGCGTGTTTAAATGAGGCGTTTTAGGAGGTCGTGGACGAGTCTGAACTTTTATAAGGAATATCTCTTTGGGTTTGAGACTTTAGTCTCTGCAACTTTAGGGATCTTATCTATTCATGAACATCTTGTAACCCTCCAAAGAGAAAGGAAAACTTGACATCGCATCATATGACCCCTTTAAGATGACATGTACGTAGGGAGAAATCAGTCGGTTATGTCAGATTTTCATGATATGTAACCTTTAAGATAACTGCATAGTGCTTTGTGTAATGGAAATAGTTACAAATACAAAACACACATGCATAAAAGAGAAGTACGTCTGATTGTATTAGCACTTGTAGTGTACTTCAAATCTTAAGAGTATACATATAAATCTGGATTTAATATAATATTAAAGGAATAGTTCACCCAAAAATGAAAATTTTAGAAATTTAAAAAATGAAAATAAAAGCATTACATCACTTATTCACCAATGGATCCTCTCTGCAGTGAATGGGTGCCGTCAGAATGAGAGTCCAAACTGATAATAAAAACATCACAATAATCCACAAGTAATCCATTCCAGTCCATTAATGAATGTCTTGTGAATCAAAAAGCTGCATGTTTGTAAGAAACAAGTTCATCATTTAGGCATTTTAACTATAAACCATCAATTCTTGCCATAAAAAGTCCATCCCCTGTAGTTGTCTCACATCAAAATCCAAAACTGTTTTGGACTTACTTTTGGAGTACTTAAAGTACACTTTCGTGACTATGTTTCATAACACACTAAAGTATGCTTGTAATGCACTTTGTCAATTTAAAGGGTTTACATTTAGGTCCATTTTTAATCATGATTTTTGTCATGCTTTTTTTGTCAACTTTGGTCATGCTTTAAAAAAAATACATGTAATTTGATGTGTTATTCAATATTAAATGTGAAGTGAACATATTTTCAGTATACACTGTATAAAAGAAATGCAAACACACATCATAAATAAATGAACAAATACTATGCTGGTGTTGCCTCACTGGAACTGAAGTATGTGTTCCTGTAAATCATCATTCCCTGGCACACATCCCACTATATATTTCACAGCGTCATTGGTCTGTTTCTGGCCTGTGATCTCTGTAGGTGCAGAGCGTGGGCCTGTATGACATATTTTATGACTCCATTGTGTTGGAGTTGCTGGAATGTGTGTAACTACACCGGCCCTCCTGAACCTCTGAGGGTACGACATGGGTTCACATTTCTCCAGTTTTCAAGTGTTCAATCTTATGAGAACTCCAGCATAAAATGCTCTATAGACTTCCCAGAACATCAGTTGACTAATTTTGCTGTACTTCTGTCGATAATTCAATTAATTGTGCTATTGTTATTGCAATTTGTTATATTCCTGGTTGGAAATTAAAGGGATAGTTTACCCAAAAATTTAAATTCTGTCATTAACTACTCATCATGTTGTTCCAAACCAGTAAGACCTTAGTTCGTCTTTGGAACACAAATGAAGATATTTTTGATGAAATCTAAGAGCTTTCTGTCTCTTTAGCTTTAGATAACAATGCAACTGTGTTCAAGGACAGGTTCAGAAAGGTGGTAAGCAAGGACATCGTTAAAATAGTTCATGTGACATCAGTGGTTCAACCTTACTGGTTTGCAACGACATCTCTGCAGTGAATGGGTGCCGTCAGAATGAGAGTCCAAACTGATAATAAAAACATCACAATAATCCACAAGTAATCCATTCCAGTCCATTAATGAATGTCTTGTGAATCAAAAAGCTGCATGTTTGTAAGAAACAAGTTCATCATTTAGGCATTTTAACTATAATCCATCAATTCTTGCCATAAAAAGTCCATCCCCTGTAGTTGTCTCACATCAAAATCCAAAACTGTTTTGGACTTACTTTTGGAGTACTTAAAGTACACTTTCGTGACTATGTTTCATAACACACTAAAGTATGCTTGTAATGCACTTTGTCAATTTAAAGGGTTTACATTTAGGTCCATTTTTAATCATGATTTTTGTCATGCTTTTTTTGTCAACTTTGGTCATGCTTTAAAAAAATACATGTATTTTGATGTGTTATTCAATATTAAATTTGAAGTGAACATATTTTCAGTGTACACTGTATAAAAGAAATACAAACACACATCATAAATAAATGAACAAATACTATGCTGGTGTTGCCTCACTGGAACTGAAGTATGTGTTCCTGTAAATCATCATTCCCTGGCACACATCCCACTATATATTTCACAGCGTCATTGGTCTGTTTCTGGCCTGTGATCTCTGTAGGTGCAGAGCGTGGGCCTGTATGACATATTTTATGACTCCATTGTGTTGGAGTTGCTGGAATGTGTGTAACTACACCGGCCCTCCTGAACCTCTGAGGGTACGACATGGGTTCACATTTCTCCAGTTTTCAAGTGTTCAATCTTATGAGAACTCCAGCATAAAATGCTCTATAGACTTCCCAGAACATCAGTTGACTAATTTTGCTGTACTTCTGTCGATAATTCAATTAATTGTGCTATTGTTATTGCAATTTGTTATATTCCTGGTTGGAAATTAAAGGGATAGTTTACCCAAAAATTTAAATTCTGTCATTAACTACTCATCATGTTGTTCCAAACCAGTAAGACCTTAGTTCGTCTTTGGAACACAAATGAAGATATTTTTGATGAAATCTAAGAGCTTTCTGTCTCTTTAGCTTTAGATAACAATGCAACTGTGTTCAAGGACAGGTTCAGAAAGGTGGTAAGCAAGGACATCGTTAAAATAGTTCATGTGACATCAGTGGTTCAACCTTACTGGTTTGCAACGACATGAGGGTGAGTAATTAATTACAGAATTTTCATTTTTGGGTGAACTATCCCTTTAAGAACTATGGGTTATGAAAGCATGTGGCATTAGTAAAATCCCCTTGCTCATTCATTACCGTTGTCTACCAGAGGGAGGCACTAATATCAAGTGTGCTCAGCTTTGCCATGTGGAAAAACAGCTGGACTCTCAAGCCTTTAGCTTTTATAATACATTTTATGAGTTTGGTGCTATGGGTCTATGACTAGTCCCACATATGCTATAAATTTACATTTATTGTTTGCTGTACATGTGTGGTTTACTGTCACATTTAAAACATTTATTTAAAGCTGTTCTGTTTGTGCAGCAACTTCTTGAATTCTGTGTTAAGTGAGAGAAACCTGAGATACTTCATGCTGAGAGTAATGCTTATATTTGCTGTCATTCTGTCAACTCCCAATAACCTCTTTTCTCACCTGATCCTTTAGTCACTGCTTATCCTACAGACTAAATATTAACTCTCATACACTGAAAGGTGCCCTTGCATTACACTGTAAGTCAATCTCCATTTTTATCATTTGTGGATTGTATCTTGACATGAATATAACAAAATAGTACCTTTTTTATTTCAGAATCTGCAGTGCTCCTATAGGAAACACTGAGATGGAAGGAAAAATTCAATGCTTTTGAGTCCTCTTTCATTCCTCCAGGAAACTTTAATTTAATTTTGTGATATATGTGTATATAAACTATGCAAGTGAGTGCAAATATTGTGTGAGAAAATGCAGTTTCTCTGGGTTTATCAGAGAAAGGAACTCAAAGGTTTTTGCAAGAGAAAACTTTGAAATATGATTTTCCCATCCTCCCTTAAGAGTCTCTGACAGAAGGATAAGGTCTCTTTTTAAGAGCTATTAAAACAAATCTTTCATGAAAGACACATTTAAACAATCTGATGTTATTTAGAAATATCATATTTATTAAAAATACATTTGAATAACAATGCAATATGCATATTGAATTATTCTGTCCATTTGGTACACTACAACACAAGATAAGTACAAAATCTCTTGGTCTTGTCTTCTGTCCCTAATAGACAAAAAACTGCCATACTTCATCTCTCATTAATTTTTACACACAGTTTAACACCATTACTCAGTACAGTGACTATGAAACGATAAGTCAAGCGTACTTCAAAAGACCGTACTATATGGAAACCGTGTTTTAATACACTTTCCTGGCCAGAACAATATCGCGTTAAAGAAGTTTAATTAGAAAACTGATGTTGAATTAAACACCTTATTTATTTCAAGGGGTCAATTCATAAGTTTTTTTTATTTACGTTTTCTCCCTGAGGTACACTTATAAGATTAGTAAAGATTTATGACCATTTTATACTGCATTTTATTCTGCGTTTATGTCTTTGGACTAATATTTGGCAGGAAGCACTTTTCAATCTATATTTTAGGATGATATTTCAGGTTCACACTCTCAAACTTTTAGAGAGGCGGAAAAATCACACATTATATAACATCAGACAGGCGAGCTGCGTACAGAACTGCCATAAGTAATTTACATGTTATCATAAGCGAATGGCTGCAATATAACAAAGAGTGAAAAATTTAGAGGGGTCTGAATACTTTCCGTACCCACTGTATGTCTGTAGATAGAGGAATTCAGACGTGGGAGCACCTCTTATCCACTCTCATCTTCACATATGATCCATGCATCATGGATACATACATGCATATTTGTTATATCTGTATACTCACTTACGGCACTTCTTATAATAGTGGTACGAAATGATATATATATAAAGATATAGCATGCATGTTCAACATTTGTTATCATTTGGATGTATTTCAAGTATTTTACAATTAGGACAGCATCTGGTAAATTGTCCTGGCAGAAATTTACATTAGACTATACATAAGGATTTTCTGTAATTCCCTTCTGTTCACATTCTGTAAATCATTTCCACGTTTATATCGTCTTTAATAGTACCTCATTAGCTGACAAATCTAATGAGTGCTTCATCTGAATTAATGACATTTACAGAAATGTGATGTCACACAAACGAGCTCCATCAACAGGTCAACTTAACACTTTAATCAACATATAAGCATCTCTCTTAGTATTACCTATACACGTGATACCAACTTTTTTCTATCATTACTCCAATCCCATTCATTGTTTTCTTGTGCATTTCTCTCCTATCTTGTTCCTCAGTCTGGAAAACCATCTGCAAATGGCAAAAACTACCACTTTGTGCTTTGCTTTTTGGAAAAGCTGCCCCATCGCAGGCCATCTGCTCAATGTCTGATGAGAAAACAAAAGCTGAGAGTTAACATGCTGCTCATTCACTGTGTGCATGATATCAGTTGTACTGAAACAACACTGCCGAGAGATAGAGCCGTATACTGCCAAACAGTGCTAAAACAACAACTGACCTGGAACACAATATATTGTTTCTGTTCTGACCCTTTTTTTTTCCATGGGAGTCAGTGACAGCCCATATATAACCCTATTGTAAGAAGTTATTAAATTTGGCTCACCAATTAAAGGTGTCTTAAATAGCACTATGAGCAGCTTAGGGGGTTACACTGCTTGATTTATATGGATTACTTTTAAAATATATTTTTGAACTTTTTGATGCATGGGCTGGATAAACATAAAAAATATCTTCATTTGTGTTTCAAAATTGGTAGTCTTATGGGTTTGGAATGCCATGAAGGTAGAAAATTATGTATTTAATTTTTGGGTGAACTATCCCTTTAAGTTTAATCATAATATTTAAAATAACTGGCATTAACATCATACTTCTGCTGTTTTTAATGCAATGTACTTGATGTCACTGAGGTTCTTTGCTCTAAATTTGCTGCTGGCATTTATGCATCTTACATAAAGTGACTAAAGGATACATTTTGTTTATTTACTTAACTAGTCAGCAATTGTTAACAGTGTTGGGCAAGTTACTCTAAAAAGTAATTAATCAGTAGCTACTAATAATTTCTTAAAGGGGTCATATGATGCGATTTAAATTTGTCCTTTCTCTTTGGAGTGTTACAAGCTCTTGGTGCATAAAGAAGATCTGTAAAGTTGCAAAGACTGAAGTCTCAAATCCAAAGAGATATTCTTTATAAAAGTTAAGAGTCAGCCACGCCTACCTAAAACGGCTCGTTCTAACACGCCTCCAACATGTCTACGTCACTGTGTGGGAAGATTTGCATAACGCCGCCCAAATGTTCACACAAAGAAAGAAGGCTTAACTTTTATTCTCGCTGTAGTATTGTTGTTGCCGCCGCCGCCATGTCGTGAAGTCGCTGTGTGTTTCATTGTGAAAGCGAAACTACTTTGTTTGGTCTTCCAAAAGAGGACGATATCCGCTTCGTCATGCCTAGAGCTGATCCGTGCTGGTCGCTGAGGAAATACTTCAACTTCGCGCTGTGGATCACCGGATCGGCTTTCACCGTGGACGAAGCGGAGTCCAGCCTGGGGTCGTCACATGTGGTTGCGGCAAGCCCGCCGCCTCTCACTCTAGCCCGCCGTGTGTGACGCTGTGTTTTGTTGTGAAAGCGAAACTACTTTGTTTGGTCTTCCAAAAGAGGAAACGACTAGAAATCAGTGGTTAAGTTGTATTTACAACACTGTTCCAGAACACTTCAACCCAAATATTCAGATGTGTGCAGTGCATTTTATGGAGGACCGTTTCCTGATCCTGGTAGAGTAGACTACAATGCCGGCTGTTCTGACTCACAGACTGTAAGTAAGTTTTTTTTATATATAAAGAATTTGCCACTGATGATTCAAACACGAGTTTTGAGCAGTGTAGAGTAGCACTTGTAGTTTGTCATTTCTCTGATCACAAATGCAGACAGGGTTTTATGTTTAAGTGGCGCGATGCAACGCGTAAAAAGACATTATAATCTTTTATTATTATTCATTATAATCCGTAATTATGTCCCCACTGGATGCAACAAATGCCTCATTTATAATGGGTTTTAATGTTTTTGTCTCATCGCTCTGGCCGGACAGGGCATCACAGTATGGTAAGGGGCGTAACATTTCCGTCACACGTTTGAGGTATTCGGCCAATCACAACGCACTGGATAGCTGGCCAATCAGAGCACACCTCACTTTTCAGACCGATGAGCTTTGTAAAAATCGACGCTTTTCAGAAAGGCGGGGCATAGAGGAGAAACAATGATGTACAGTATGAGGAAAATAATGTGTTTTTATGAACCTTAAACCGCATAAACACATTTCATTACACCAAATAATGTTCTTTTTAGCAGCATCATATGAACCCTTTAATGTAATTAGATTACTGTACTAATTACTCTCTATGTATTGCATCACTTATTACAAATAACTTAAATCCCATATCAAGCTAAACCAGTTGAGCAAAACAAGGATAAATATGAAATGGTTATTTTAATTCTTTCAAATAAATAATGTAAAATTGAACTGACTGAAGTATTTAAAGCAGTGGTCTCAAACTCAATTCATGGAGGGCCACAGCTCTGCACAGTTTAGCTCCAACCGTAATCAAACACACCCAATCCAGCTAATCAAGCTCTTCGGGATCACTAAAACTTCCAAGTTCCAAGCAGAAGTGAGTTGGATCTGATTGGAGCTAACAGAGCTATGGCCCTTCAGGAATTGAGTTTGAGACCACTGATTTAAAAGGAGAAGGTTAAAAATATACATTTTAACGTTAGATGTTACATTTTGATGTTAGATCCACTATTATTTTATATAGAATTGTCTTAATATCCAATGCAATTATATCAATAGTAACTGTACATAAAAATTAAGAGCAATCTCTTTTTCAAAGAAAATTATTACATTTACAGCAATTAATTACTTAATAATGCATTACACCCAACACGGATCATAAAATATAAGTCTTAGTGTCAGATTTTGATCTTAATTTCCAGTTATTGCCGTAGGAAGTGGATGTATTTTTTTCAGCCTACCTGAGTTATACTACTGTGGCCACAGATAGTCCAGTTTCTGATGTCCCAGAGCGATCATGGAGTTTCTGTTTGTCCTGGGCCGTTCTGCTGGCATCACATCTGGGCTGTGAGAAAGATGGACACCATTTTAGCAATCTTAGTAGCAGTGAACAAATTCGTAGTGTAATTTAGGTGTGGATTTGAAGCATGCTTTCCATATCATTAACATTACTTTAAAACATGTATTACATAACCTTTTCCAGATAGCACCAATGAGAATTTTTAATGCCCCATTAAGTTCGTCTGAACTAATGGAAGACAGTCTGACCTGATTTTTCAAATCGCACTGCACTTACGCAACACACTGATTATTACGGTATGAGAAAACAGAGACACGGAGCAAATACTGTCTCTTAAAGTCAGCATATTGCATGAATCATTGGTCCGTATGGATATATTCCTCAGAAAATATCTGCTCTCGGGAGGAGAGCGTGTTCAGTATAGCTCCCATATCTCATGTAATGAGTGAAATACACGGGGAATTCGCTTACTCCCACCAGCATACCTCCAACCTGACACTGCAGCCCTGAACTATTCATCTGAGTCTGTGCCAACCTGTGTGTGGGATCGCAGCTCACTAGTGGAATAGGTTGAGGTTCAAGTTGTTGCTTTTTTATTGAGAGAAAATACATTTTTCAAGGGCATGTCCCTAGAATACTCTTCACAGATGAAGTGTCTGTTATTAGTTCAGAAAGAATGTGGAGGCGATGTTGCAATTCACTCATCAAACCTGGAACTAGTCTCTAGCCTTTTCAACCAATCAGAATAAAGAACTGAACACAGTATAAACTGATTTATTAACATAATAAAAAGGTGCGGTATAGATGTACTAACATCAAGTATTAGTGATGTCCACAAAACCCATGATACTGGGAGTTCAGTGACTGAATCAGGGATGCTATTAACTAAAACTAAACATTCATTTTTGTTAGTTAAAATAAACTAAAAATAATCATTAAAAATATTTTTTTTAAGTAAATTAGACATTTTTCCTAGGCAACTAAATTATATAAAATAAGTTGAAGTAGTAAAACGACTTAAACTAAAATTGAAATATAAAAATTAATTGGCAAAACTTCAGTTAATCAGTTAATGCATAACATTCAGCAAAATAACATATACAGCATTTATTAACCTTTGTTAATGTTAGTTAATAAAAATGTTCATGTGCACAGTGCATTAACTAATGTTACCATACAATGTTTGACCTTAAAAATGTGTTAGTAAATGATGAGATTAACATTAACATTAAGATGAATAAATGCTATAGAATTGTTGATAACACTTCAGTATAAGGACCAATTCTCACGATTAACTAGTTGTTTATTAGCATGCCTTTTATTAACATTTTGGCTGTTTATTAGTGCTTATAAAGCACATATTCTGCATGACCATATTCTACATCCCTAATCCTACCCAATACCTAAACTTAACAACTACCTTACTAACTATTAATAAGCAGCAAATTAGGAGTTTATTGAGGCAAAAGTCATAGTTAATGGTTTGTTAATAGCGAGAATTAGACCTTAAAATAAAGTGTGACCGTATTGTTTATTGTTAGTTCTTTTTAAGTAACATAGTTAGCTAATGTTGGGGCTAAATTACAAAAAATTACAAAAGAACACAACAAAATTACTAAAACTTAAACTAAAATTCAAAAATATAAAAAATCGTGATTAATCGCATCCAAAATCAGAGTTTTTGTTTACATAATATATGTATGTGTGCTGTATTATGTATATAAATACACACACATGTATGTATATATATTTCAGAAAAATATGTTATGTTTATCTATTAAATATCTTTATTTATAATATAAATTATATGAATATAAATATAGACATGTAAATATTTTCAAAATATATACTGTATGTTTGTATATTTATATATATATATATATATATATGTAATAAATATACACAGAACACACACATAAATTATACAAACAAATCGTTTGACAGCACTAATAAAAATATATCAAATACGATATTCCAAAATATTATTAAATACTCTAATAATATATTTAAAAATACTAAAACAATACAAGACTGAATGAGATCCAACACCTAATCAGTGTTCTGCTCTCCGCTCATTCATACAATGTGGTGCTAGTCACCGACTACCACATGAGCCCAGTGCTGAGGTATTTAAGAGGAGGCAGCATACAGGCGAGATTAGGACGCCCAGCAGTTTAGCGTTACAGCATGCGGTTGTGATGAGAGCCTTATCTTGCATCACATGGACACATAGTGAGTCATAACATCAAAAGAGCGGAGCCATTAGTAGCACTTGTGTTTGTAATACGGCTTCCCAGAAGTCACTTTATGTGCTCCCATTGGAACCACACAACTTCAGGGCGGAGTGCTAAAGCTTTAAAACATTTCCATTCTGATTAATCTTTAATATCGAAACCAATCGTCTGTGAAATAATATGTCGATTTGACTTTTAGAAATAATAAATAAATATTCTATTTAAAAAAAACAAAAAAAACATTCAATGAGCCTTCAGAGGGAGATCAAATCTGAGTGTTGTTTTGAGTGCTAATGATCTGATACTCCTGAATGATTATGAAAACATGGATGGAGTACCGGTAAAGCTGTGGACATGATCTCTTCAGGGAGCCTGAAGACAGTCCCAGCCGGCTTTGGTTCCTCAGTTTGGTCTTCTTCACCATTTCCTTCACTCTTCCCCATGTATAGTTCTCACTCAACTGCGATACACAAAGTTACACTGTAAAAATGATTGTAATTTTTAACGTGTAAGAATACTACAGTATAATATTTGGTTCGTTTAATTTATTTTTATTAACCTCAACCTCATTTGTAAGTTGCTTTGCATAAAAGCAAAATGAGTAAATGTAAATGTTAAAGTAAATTCCCTTATACAGTGAAAAACTGTAATAGATCTTATTGCATTTAATCTGACAGTAAAATACTGTTAATTGTGCAGTTTTTAAGTGAAACACAATAAGTAATCTTGTATTTTACAGTGAAAAGCCATAAATTGACATTCACAGAATTCCTTACATGACACTTTACATTTAAATAATTGTGTTTCTTGTTTATTTTGTTAACAGTTATGCACATTAGGGTTCCCCTTCGGGAACTCGAGCTGCGTCGGAAATGCTAGGGGAACACCTTCAGCGATACCAAGCTCTGAATTATATGTGTAATCAGTCGAATCGATGGGCAGGATGTCAGAGGCGGGTGACGTCATGACCAGGAAGCTCTAAAAGCACGTAAGGTGCGGCTGGCGCTAGCTTTCTGTCATTCAGCAAAGCTCTCTGTGTGTGTCGGTCACGATTTATGTTCTGTGAGTCTTATTTATTGTTGTCTGTCCAAAAGTTGCACAAGCATTCAAAATATAAGCTCCAGCAGAAAGAAAAAAAGATGTCTAAACTAAAGACAAAAAAGGGCGAAAGCAGATCGCGTTATAGACTGTGTGTTCCTCCCTGCCCACGTTACATCACGAGCGGGGATACACACAGTTTGTGCGTGGTCTGCTTGGGAGCGGAGCATGTGGCGTCGGCTCTCGAGAGGGCCGACTGTCCGCATTGTGAGCAGTTGCCACTGCGTTTGCTTCACTCCCGTAAGGTTCTCTTCGCGGAGGGAGCCTTCACCAGCGTTCCTCACGGTGCTGGCCCCGCTTCTGCCGAGGCGGAGCGGCAGCTGCACTCGTGGGGTTCGTGGCTGGATCTGGTGGATGGAATGGAGACGGGCGAGTCCCTATCTTCTTCCTCACCTGCCAGATCCACTGCCCGCTTGCTGGGATCGGAAGCCCGTTCTGCGGCTACTTCCCCCC